GTATTCTTTTCCCAGGTGTGAGCGAGGCAGCAGTGACGAGAAAGAAGAGCAGCGAAAGCTGCGACGTAGATATCCATGAGGTCGTTGCTAATACATCAGCTATGCGCATTTGAATGCAAATCAAAAGAAAAACCTTATACACTTCATATCCTGGCAAAGGGAAGAGAGTAGTACCTCGGACGGATTGGAGGGCGGTACCTGTAATTGCTAGGGTGGTGATGGGCAAAGGTAATTGCGCATCCGATTCGCGTAATCATAAAATCTGGCAGGGTATCGACTGATATCGGTGCCGAATTGGAGGTGCACGACTGTATTACCAACCGGTAAAACACTCAACAGAAGATGAACGCAGTTCGAAGTGTTATCTTCATGCTTGCTGACCATCCAGACAAGCTTATGAAAGACCTCCGTTTCCTCCAAAGAAGAATCGTCAGCAACTAAGATTGGGAAGGAAACATCGATGAACCGAACCAACTTCTATTTTCTTTAAATGATGAGGAGCTGTAGATGCATTTTTAACACCAATAATACATTTGTTTTAATATCAGGTTTTGAAAATATCGTATCAAGTATAGCGATTATCAATCGGTGGACCCGGTCCATATCATATATCAGCGATGAAAGAAATCATTTAGGACAGGATTTACTGTAGTTTGTATCTCGTCCCAGAACATGTTCATCGGTCCGTATCTTGGTGGAGCCTGCAGAACTAGGGTTCTACTAACATATAATGTAATGGTAGTACATTCAACAAGCAGGTGACTGAATCTCTACTATCTATTTCGAGTATATTTCGTTACAAGAAAAGAAGTGTATTCCCAGCTAAGTCGAAGACAATCTAGTTGAGTGTAGTGGGTTGCTGCACATGAAAACCTCACGTAACCCTACAGTTGGTGGGGGCTGCCAGTTACTGCTGGTTAATGCGGTGTCGTTTATCCAAGAGAACAACTGGCTATCTCACCAGGGTTAGTTGGAACATTGTGCTAGCTAAGACAGACTTTACTTTAGATTTTATTCTGTTGTGAGGAATACAATCTGCATAAATGTTCAGGGAGTGCCAGCTCCCTTAATGGTGTCTTCTATCGAGACCTACTACATTGAGACCCCCCCCCCCCCGTATACTGTAGACGGTTACTGGCATTGCGAGTTAAAAATGTAAAAAAAATACAAAGCACGAAGAAGTTCTTTAAAATACTTAGAAACTTTTCTAAATATATTTTACTTTGCACTCGTCTGGTAGCTAAAAACTACAATATTCTGTAACTCCATGGGTGCTTTGATATTC